CCCCCCCCCCCCCCCGATACCGTTAAACACTAATATTTTTAATCATTGCTTCTACGCTACCGTTACCGAATATCTTTTGTTTTTTACAAAATAAAAATATAATTATGAAAAAGTGGCTACTGGCGAGGAAAAAAAATATATAAGAACGATAAAACTTTTATTAAAAGCCCTATTTTAGTTTTATAGGACAGACGACTGCGACGTCTATAAACATTAAAACAGAACTATGATTAATGTCACGAAGTCACACTTGTTTGTCTTGACCAGGATTGTGCGAAGGGGCACTCACCCGGACGTCAACATCATTGTGGCACCAAAATCGTCTTTAGACAGGACCTTAATAGTTTTATAGTGAACGATACTTAATACATTCTTATTACACGGTACCATCCCGTGCACTTCACAAAGAAAGCGGTCGCCAGAATCGCCTTTTTACTGGTCTGTCCCGGGCGGAACTTTATGTTAAACGCATTTACGAATCTCATTTGGCACAGTTATCTGGAGTTTTATTTTGTGAAATCAGTGGAGACATTTTTCATTAATTTCCCATTGAAAATAGGAGAAACTTATTATTGAGGGTTGGGGCTGAAAATTTGATAGAATATGTTGTCATCGGCAACGAGTTTATAAGCCAAGTTTCAGCTCGATGGGTTGACGGGAAGTGGGTCAATTAGCCGTCCGACGATTTTGCCCGCCAGCCACGATCAAAAGCGAGGTTAACATAAAAGATTTAACTCTTACGAATTACTAGCTAACAAGTCATGTTGCCAGTGGTAGACTGGAGTGGGGCTAAGCGTTCCGGGGAAAAAAGAAGAAGAAAAAAAAGCCTTATCCGACGTTTATGTTCCTTGGACATGAGGTGGGTTATTTGTTTTCTGCCAAAGTCACAGATAACCATACAGTGAGAGAGTCATAACATAAACGATACATTGAAAAGCTAATATTAAGAATACATCAGGGGCGTAGGAAAGGGATGTGGAGAGGGCAGAGGTCCACTTCGGGTGACACTTTTTTTTTTCTTTGCTTTTATATGGAGGGGCGTCATTTTCAGTAAGCTTTCGAGTTTTTTCGTGGAAGGGAGCGGGAAAAAAGCCTCGTCCGTCCCAGGCGGCACTAACCCTAGTTACGCCACTGGAAAAACATTTAATTATAAATTGATTTATCACAGAAGAAATCCCTAGCAAACGATATTTATGATATACCCTACGCAACTATTGTCGCTAGATTTTTTATTCCTTGGAAAACTTGGATAGTCGTTTTAAGATCTCTTTTGGAGTGAAAACGCTGCACATGTTTTGATCAACGGGATTTAACGGGTTTTCCCATTAATTAACTTCTTTTATAAAATTATGTTTTGTTATTCGTCTTAAAAAGATATTAATAATTTGATTATTTCTTTAAGCTGAAACACGTAATAATAGGCTATAGTCATTCATTCATTTGTGTAGTAATTTAAAATAGCTAATGTGCAGAGTGTAAATGTTTTAACCTTTACAAGGTATGCAGTTTTTGCACTACATCCTACGTGCGGATCCAGAAATGCATTATTAGCAGATATTTGTCTTCAACACAGTCCTTGCTGAAAATTCCCAGTGTGGATAAAAAACAGAAAAAAGTCTTACGGAGTGCGCTCTTTTGAATCGATAGCGCCAAAATTATGTTACAGTTTGCCTCAATCTTTGAAGGAATTGAAAATGATAAAAAATCATTTAAGAAACATTTTAAAACTTTTTTGGTTTAAACAGATTTTTAAAAAAACCCAGAGCGCAGTGAGCATAACATAGGAGCATGGATACCAGCGCTATATAAATATCCAATCAATCAATCAATCAATAATTTTATTGCTTGGCACTTTACTCAAAGAAGGTTGCCAATCACTTACTTAAAACATTGGTTTCTAGTCATTGATTAACTTCATCTGTGACATATCTTATCACGATTGAGCATACAATTTAAGTGAAGATTAAATGGTCTTACGCAAGTATTATAATGTAATGCAGATAGAACCGACCCCAAACTATAACCGACAGAACCGGCCCAGGCGGGTCAAACATCACAGGCAGAGTCGCCCAGGCGGTCCAAATGTCAGCCCACACCCCACGAGATATATAGTTGAAATTCCGTTACTACTTAGATTTCAAATTTAATATTTAGTTAGTCAGATTAAAATTTTAAACAAAACTAAAATAGTTAGCCTTTAGATAGATTCGGGGTGGGAGACAGGGCAGAGCCGGGTGCAGGGCCGGCGTTAGTGGTGGTGAAAGGGGCAACAGTTCAAGGCCCCGCGCTTTTGAGTGCCTTGCCCTTGTGGGGGATCCGAGAGTAGAGCTTGTAATATTTATATTTTATTAATATAGCCATGCTGTGCTTGCTCATAGTCGTGGTTTGTAATTTCCCCTCAACAAAATATTCGGTAGTAGTAGATAATGAACTGACCAGTCTGTTCGTCAGCAATATCTTGACTATGCAACTTGATGTCCAAGGATTTGTATCAGCAATGACCACTGCAGAGGATAACACTTCAGAGACGAACACGGCGCCGGCGCTTAATGGACACCGCAATAGGCCAGGAAAGAGTCCAAGTTAAAGTTGATAAAAACGTACTTGAGATCATAATTGATATTTCAGGATCGATTGAATGGACGGGCAAAATTGTTAATGTAACGAAGCATTGTTACCATGCTTGACGATGAAGAACTCATTGAAGTGCTTTTTAGTACCGTCTTAAGGCATGGGCGAACTGGGCACTGACCCAGGGCCTCATGCTTCTAGGGGGCTTCAAGCCTCTAGGAGACTCACTCTATTAGAGGCATCACGCTGCACATGTTGAGATATTGCTAG